AACCTTTCGTAAAATTAATTAACTAATTAATTAATCTTGACCATTCTTCAATTAAATCATTTAATTGCTAATCCATTTCATTTAATTTCTTCACTATCACCCTTACTCGGTGTACGATCCATTAGGTTCCAATTAGCGAGGTAGTGGGCGATTGTTACTCTTAACGATCGATTGTGAATTGAAACCATATTTCAATTCTCCCTTTTATGATTAGTGTAGCCTAATCATTAGGGCTTCCACAAACCATGAGTGACACCTAGCAGTATGTCATGGTCACCCAAGCTAAGTAGAATTGGTTGGAGAACCTATCCAGTTACAACTACAATGCAATACAGTCATTCTCTAATACAATACTCTTAATCACATTGTTTGAGTGATAGTTTGTTTCATGTCTACTATCCAATGTGATACATATCTATATGATTCCCTTGAATATGATTTGGAACAAACTTCCTAAGTCATATTCATATGTTTTGGCCAAAGACTTTAGAATCATATCTTAGAGTATTCTCCTTCCACCATGGAAGGTTAGAGATCCCTTGTTGTGCATTCATATGCCTACACGACTAGATAGCTTGACCCCAACAATGCCGTGGACACTCCGATGGAATGCCGTTGACATGATCAAAGATCAAGGACCTAACCATTAGACATCTATGATGCCTCAGGTCAAAGGACTACTTTGCATATTGCAACTTTCGAGTTCTTACATGACATGTATGTTCGAACTCTTTTTTTATCGTTGTTCAGTGTACTCGATTACTCTTTCGAGCACCTATGTGTTTGTCTTAGTGTCCAACACCAAATGACTTGAGACTAGTCATACTCACGCTTGAGTCAACATAACACATACTAGCCTTAGCGGATTGTCAATGCCCAATCGGCAATCCTATGGCTAGGAACGTTTTAGGAATGAACATAAGAGAATGGTCTCGATAATCTAACTCACTTAGATCACTTGTCTCTTAGATCAAATACATCCCTAGGATTCCCTTATTGTTTAAACACAAGATACAATAAATAGTGATTAACAATAAGCTTTGCCCTTCATTAAACATATAAAAGTTTAATACATTAAGTATTCCAAAAAGCTATTACATCAAATGAGTGGCTTTGTGGGCATACTTCCAACAGAGAATTAACAAGCGCAACAAACACATGCCAATTCATCCACTACCAAAGACGAAGATCACCAGCCATGTGAAAAATCCTAGTGGTCTCATTTCATTCAAGACCAAGCCTTTACAGCCCTTGAAGAAATAGACAGCCCAATTCAAGACCAAGCCTCAACAACCCTTGAATAAATTGTCAGCCCAATTCAAGATCAAGCCTCAACGGCCCTTGAATAAGCTTCTTGCCCAATTCAAGATCAAGCCTCAACGGCCCTTGAATTGACATCTACATTTAAGGACTTCAAAGCACAATGGTTAAAGTACATTCACTATGCGGAGGGACTTCAAAACATATCTTCTACACGTGACAAGCAAATGTATACGATGCACCTTGAAGTGGAGGCTTTTGTAGACATCAAAATTTTGGTGAAATAAATGTTCACCAATGCATTAAAGTTTCGACATGCCAAGGCATACGTGGCATGTGCCATGTGTCTCACAAATTGTACACATGGCGTGTGACTCAACAAAATCGGACGAGCCATCAAGAAAGACACGTGTCAACACTTGACGGAAAGGAATTATTTGATTTTTAATTTAATTAAATCAAATGTTAATTGATGAAGACAAATCACGAACCGGCCCATAAATCGAGTCCTGGTTCTTTCGTCAATTAATCAAGCCCACAATCAAGGCCAAATCCATCCGTGGCCAAGGCTTGGAGAGTCTATAAATAAGAGGCTCCAAGACAAAGAAAGGGGTCCAGAAATCAATTCACACCCATACACTGAAGCTTTGAAATTCTGGAGCTCTCAAGCACTCAAACCCACCAAACACTCAAACATTCAAGAAGACTCGGAAAATCCTTCGTGTTCTTCATCAAATCCCGTGAAGAACCACCAAGCACCTCTACACGTGCCAGTTCCTCCATTGCCAAGACCTAAAACCTTGCGACATTCTTTCATCCAAGATCAAGTCCTCGCGACCCTTGGATCAACAACACTACACTTCTACATATTTGGGAGATCGAATCAGACGATCAAGTTGTAAAGAGATTGTAACCCTACAAATTCATTAATACAAATTATCTATTTTGTACAGGTGTTCTTGTCTCATTTGTCGCGTTTACAGAAACCAAAACTACGTTAAAGATGGTTTCTTCCAAGTCAACCAATCTCTTTGATTGTAGTCACCTTAGCTACCAACTAGCCTTGAAGGTTTCACTATTTTGGGTCAAATGGTATTATATCATTTCCTTGTGTATATGTCATACACACACTTAATCTTCATTCTAATTCTTTTGAAGTAAGAGGTGTAACTCTATGATCTAGTCACAAAGTTCAAACCATTCAACTGAGACGGATTATAGATCCTTCTTGATTGTCTTGGAGCTTGTGGAGTAGGAACTAGGTTGTTAAGTTTGTTGAGTACCTTCTTGTCTCTTAAAGAACTCTTTACTTGAGTTCTATCTCTCGTTCATTTGCTCTATCTTAGGCAAATCCTATTGTAGGATTACAATAAACTACCTAACATACGACCTTTGTTAGTTGGTCTATATAAGTGATATCCTAAGGTTAATTTAAGGATGTTGATGCACAAAATCAATGAGACTTTGGAACAATGTAAAGTGTCAAATTTGTGACCTTCACAAGGTTGCACCAGTCACCTAGTGAGGATAATATGTAAAGAGATAGATATAGGAAAGAAAACACAAGATGTACATGGTTCACCCTAAGTTGGGATACGTCCACGGGATAGATGAGCTCTCATTAATAGTAAAGAGTTTACACAATACATAGGTTCAAGCATAATCATCTTTAGTGAGTTCTAATGACGAGTTTAAGTATAATAATGGCATTCAAGATTAATTATAGGAGAATGGTCTCCGTTTATAGTTGAGGAGAGTCTCCAGCTTCCATCCATGGTCAATGTGGGACTCTAGAAGCTTTATTCTGATGTTGATACATGTCACGTTGTGATTACCTCCTGGCTGGAGAGAAACTCTTGTGCTTAGGCAAGGATGAATCAACACGAATCCTCCAATGGGTCCTTGAAGGTATGAAGTTGACTAGTGCTTAGTAGTTATTGGTGAACTATGGTACAAATAAAGGATATCCCACAAGATTGTTCTTAAACAAATATTCCTTATTAGCACACAACCCCAAATCTTAACTTGATTAAAACTTGTCTTTTTCTTTCTAACTACATCTTATGGAGCTATGAAATGATCCAAAGCATCCATCTATGGGCAACTTGTAATTCAAGTTTTCGATGTGTCACAATCAAGTTACTCATTACCTTGTAACCTTTTGGGTTTTAAGTATCATTATATTCTAAACAGTTATTACTACCACATTATTTCTACAATGTAGAGACAATCAATTGAATTACGAGAATCCAATTATTCATTAATAAAGAACAATGTTTTGTCAAACAAATCTATCCATCCATATCTTAAAATAATAGTGTTGGAATTAAGTTCTTTATTCAAATTGGAACGTAAAGAAAATCTTTGTTTTTCCAATTCCTTTGGTAGTTCATATGAGTAAGTAAGTACCAACTGCTTTCGTAAAGATCTATATCTTTATTCACATTCTGAGTGCTTGGCCCGACGAAGATAGAAGAAGAACTGATTGACCAAGAAGAACACGTGGACACGCTAACAATTTTATTGGCCAAGTCTCCAAGAATATAACTACTCAAGTGCTACTTAGATTATTCAAAAATGTGCAGACAACAGCAGAGACCTATGATGAGACATATAGGCAGTCGAGGCAATGCTAGACAAAGCAACGCAGAGTAATTGAGGTCTGAGCGAGATGCTTAGGTGACATAGGCCTTAGAAGACGTGCCATCCGACTGCAAGCACGTCACTTCGTCAACAAAGGCCGAATAGGTGAAAAGTTGTCAATAAGCTAGTACAAGGGTTGGCGCATTAAATGCCGTTTTGAGAGACCTCAAGGGGGCAAGGCCTATATAAAGGTGTGAAAACCTTCATTTAGCTTTGAAATCAATATGTATTGAGAGCAACACAGTAGATATACCCCAGTTTTGAGGGTGAACCACTTACATCTTTGAGTCCATTTAACTTTAGCCCATCTTGTGAGCCCATCTTATGTCGTTTAATTAAGTTTGTTAACCTTACAATCTTGAGCGTTAACATACCGTTGAGTGAGTTTTTCTTTTGACTTTTCATTTTTACTCGGCTCGTGTTAGTAAATTTGCGTATTACTTATTTCTCTTGTGTATTTTTTGAAAATGAGTCCAAAAATTACACATTTTAAAGCTATTATATACGTATGTACGCATGTAATCTTTTCACATTTTATACTCAAAATTTACTATTACAACGTACCAATCTAATACATATAGAATTTATATATTCTACACATATGTTTTGAATATTTTTAATTTACTGAATAATATAAGTGTGGGAATATAAAATATCTTGACCATTGAAAGTTATGTCACGTGTACAACTTATCAAATATGACTACTCTACTCTTGATGGAATATGTAGACTGTTAGTAAAACCCTAAAGGATTAACATGCCACATTCTCTATGAAGGTCTAGAAGCCCACAATCAACAGGCCCTCAAACCCAATTCATCGTCAACAGTTCAAGTCGATCACCACACGACCTACGCAGATTATCCTAATATGCAATGAGCCTACCTATAATTCTCTTAGTAGGGCAAGGCTCTCTTAACCATATTTCAAGAATCTTAAAGGAATATTCCCCCATCGGTGTGTAGTGCTAAAAAGTTTAATGAACCTCGACGCCTAGTTTAACTCCTCAATTCTCTATAGATAGCCAAAGCCAACTAGTTTATTCTGGTAATAAAAAAGCTCTTACCACAGTCTTTGTGACTTAGACATTAAGGGCCCGTTTGTTTGACAGGATTAGGGAGGACTGGACTGGACTAGACTACAGTCCCTTGTTTGGTCTGCATCAGGATTAGGTTTAATGGGATTAGGTCTGACTCGCTAGGATTAAACCCCTCACTGGCAGTTCTAAGCGAAGCACCCCGATCACCCCCGGACTCGTAAGACCTCATGCGCTCCTGCGCTCATGCGAGAGAGAACCTCGCTCAACCTCGATCCTTGATGTGCTCCCTCCTTGCCCTGCTCCCTCATCGTCGTCCTCCTCATCATCATCTCTGCGTCCTGCTTGCCCTCAACTCCATCCTGCTCGCCCTCATCTGGTAAACTTCGAATCCGACATTATTTCTTCGATTTTTTTTTTGCAGATCGTGATATTACTGGGCTTTATTTGATTTAGGTGTTTTGGGTTTGAGAAATTTTGAATTATAGACCTCTGCCCTTGAACAAATTAGGGTTTTGATTTTTAGGGTCAAATTGAGATTAGAATTTGGGGTTTTCACATTTTATGCCATTTTAAGTACCAAAATGATGATAATCATCACTAAATGGGTATGTTTTATGTCCTACTTTTTCCCAGTTTGAATATGTATTCATAGTTGTCGGATTAAAACGTATATGTAGTTTTTGGGAAGTGATGAGTAAAATGGCTAGAATTTTAGGAAGCTTTGCGCTTCTGGTTTTCATCAGACAGAGGGAACACGAAGAGGGAGAGGAAAAGAGAAAATATTAAGTTTAATTGTAATTTTAAATTTGTTTTTATAGTGTTAGTGGGGGAACCCATCTGTAGTATTTTTAGAGAAGATGAGAAGATGTAAACTGCTGAACATCCTTAGCATTTCCCAAGTTCTTTATTAATTTGAGAGTGATCCTGTGAATAATTTTGGCTTTTAGATTTGTTTGAATATTTTTCTGATTCAACTTGCAGGTTTAGTATCATTTTACAGCTTTCTACAACTCTTTGTTCTTTCTCTCTTCCTTTATGGTTAGACAGCATCGAATATCTATCAGTAATCATGTCCAAACTGACTGCGTTCATACAACTTGTGCTGTTTAACTAATGAATATAATTTCGGAACTAATATGCCATGCCTAGATGATTGATGTGAGTATCTTAGATGAATCTATCCACTAGATGATTGATGTGAGTATCTACGATGAATCTATCAACCTTGGGAACTTGCAAGAGTTGAGTTCAAGATGTCCGGATGCTTTTTCGTATATAACCAAGGTCTAAAACACAGCCTTAACCTTATTCTTAAGAGGAGGTTTGTTTTTTGTATGTCACTAAGTTAACTGCATAAATCCAAATCTCAAGACCAAAACAAATCATAAGGTTACATGATTTCTTCCAAATTAATGCCAACATATTGTTCAGCAACGGCGAGATTCTGGGGCCTTGCTTGACCAGCCACATTAGATAAATCTCAATACAATCTATGCATGCATGCATAGTTGTAACCAGATTCTTACCAGGCCACCGATGGCGTAATTTCATTTGAAGATTACAATAAATGATATAAGATTTAAGGAATTCACAAAAGTCATGTGAAAATAAAAGATGTTGGATTTCCCTTTGAAGGATATGAAATTACTTGATGTTAGAATTGAGGTTTTACAGTTAGTCAGAGGTTTACGATTAGATCTGTATAATGTGTTTTAGCATCATTTTGTTGTTTGGCAAGCAGTTCACGTGCGTAGTTTCCGGTGTTTGTTTCATATTTAGAAGCTTGTTTGAGTTCGATGTCTCTATTTTTTTGTCGAAGAGTTCGATGTCTGTATATCATGTAGAAAAGTGATTCCTTTTTTCTTTTGGATGTCTGACCCTGTAAACTTCAGAATCTATTTTTCCGTATTCTTCTTATTGTTCTTCTATCCCTATCTAAAGCTTTATCCCCAAACCGTTTCTTCATTTGGACAGACCTATGTAACTGTTGGTAATATATTTATGATTTGTCTTTAGAATTGCATCCTAAGCGGTGGTTACAAGTTACGACTTCCCTGATTGACTTCATATGAACAAAGTCATGCGGAGTTTAACAATTTTTCGTATTGCATAATGCTTCACGTGGATGTATTAGTATACCGTCATGCTTTGGTATCATTCTCTAGTGTCATATTCTAATTAAAAGTAAATGATGTGGCCAATTGCATACTAGACATACCTCGGAACTGCTGGAATGACCTCCTTACAGCTTACAGGGGATGTGGAGGGAGAGTCCATGTTAGATACGTTGTTAGTGATATGCATGCAGACTTCATCCAGACTGAATGTGACTGCTTAACCTCGGTTGCTTCCACCCTTCCACTTACACTTAGGTCAATGTGATTTCTCCCACTTACCATCAAATTGAAATTTTAATGCATTATGCATGGATACTAGACAAAGGCATAAACAGTGGCACTGATGGATTTGCTATGCTTTTCAATGAAATTGGTGTGCGTGATCTTCTAGCAATAACTTATGAGCAATTGGTATTTGTGATTAATTTTTGAATTGCAGATGCTTGTCATTTACTGATAGATAATCAAAAGAAGGGTGACATTTGACAGTCTATTTCCAATTTGGATGTCTAATTATCCATCACGGAACTGTCAAGGGGCACTTGGCTGATAACTTTCACAGTCCAAAGATGGTCTGCGCTGAAATGTCAGCTGCTTAGCCTCTCTCTCCACCTGCTTCATTATGTTGTCCTCTTGGCCTTCATGTTTAACGTACAAGCAGAGTACAAACAATGAACTTTTAGAAAAGTTAACCCTTTCTTTAGCACATTAAGGCATTGTTTAATTTGGTGGCATATTGGTTTGATATCCGTGTGTGTGTGTGTTCAGGGCAATCAAATCGGAACTCAAGAAAGTGTTCGTCCAAAGGCTTTTAAGCGACAAAGCAAGCAGATGAGTATATTATGTGGTGCCTTTTGACATGGATGTATTTTATTAATCGTACAATCTTATGTTATGGCTTATAACTTAGCTTTGCACTATAAAGTATTTTGGCTAATGTTAACTAGGATTTTGTAAATTATGGAGATTTACTTTGGAATGCTATACTATAGTTCACTGGTATTTTGTAAAATATCCTGGATGAAAGTTTAGTGAATGATGTTTTAAGAGTCAATCAATGGCAAAGATTGACTTGTCACAAGTATCTTCTTATGTACTTGTATTTGTTGAAGTTGCATGTATTGGGCACTATTCTTTTTCTTTTTTTTGGATGATAGAGTTTAAACCAAGCTACATTTGCAAATTAAACTCAACTATTTATAAATAGTATGTCCCAATTCTATTAGCATGTAATAGAAACAAAACAATTGTCCTCTTTTTTTTAAGATTCATAATATACATGGCAAAAACATGCTCCAATTAACCCATATCATGAGATTTGTAGCATTACTCTATTACACAATGACAAAAATTTGTAGTCCTACTCTAAGCAAACACAAATCTGGTGAACAGTACTGTTTTTATTATCCTGCTTCTTAGTCCGACACTGCACCAAACGCTTCACTAAGTTAGTCCAGCTTAGTCTAGTCTAAGCCAGTCCAGCTTAGTCCCTGCAGCTAGTCCAGTCCGAGACAGTCCGGCGCAACAAACACACCCTAAAGGTCTTTTGGCTAACACCACACGTGTTAGTCTCATACCCTTCCATAGTATATGAAATTAACACCACACCAGTCCCTTAGTATTAGAGGTCTTATCATTTGTGTGGGGAGGTTTTGTTACTTCAATCCGGGGCGAAAATTTCCTCCCATACCTAGTTTTCATATATCACACCCTTCCATTTTACCATGTTTGAGTTAAAATTGTTAAAAAATTAGTTACAGTATACAAAGAACAACTTATATAAATGGGTTCGCTACTTATGCCTAATAATATCATGGCGCATTCATATTGGGAATGCGACATTAAGGCGGAATCGTTCATGGCAAAGCCATTACGTCGGTCTCTTCTTTGTTTTTGGTTTTTTTGTTTTTTTTTTAATTTTAATTTTTAATGTGAAAGGTGCAGAAGTAGGCAACGTGGACCGAAGAGAGAAACATGGAGAGAAACCAATGAGTCGACGACGACCGTTGAATTCAAACCCAAACCCAAACCCAAACCAATACCCAAACCCCCTCCTTCTGTCCGATCTAATTTCCCAAAACAAAACAAATCAATTGAAACGACGATGATGGCTATGCTCATGCGCTCGCCTCCCCACCTTCCCATTCCATTCTCTTCAGTGAGTGCCTTTCTTTCCATCTTCTCTGTTTCTTGCATTTCATGTAATTTTTATTTTCTTCACATTTATGGGCTTTTTTCTTTTTATAATTCCTTTTATGGCACATTTTCTGGGTTTTCTCTAGGATTCATCAAAGGGAAAAGGAAAAGGAAAATGGAATTCATGTTTATCAACATTTATTCATGAAAAAATTGAAGGAAAAATATAATAAAGTTGTGGTTCCAATGGTTTTCAAAATCTCATGGGATTGATGAACCCAAATTGTTTTCTTTAATTGTTTATGTTGGGATTGATGAAACCAAATTTCCTACTTCATATTTGTAGAGTTCCAGAAATGCTGCACAACTGCTGGGGAATATCATGACAGGCAAGTCTGCTCGTCTCGTCTGACTTTGTTACTCTACAAGTTTGCTTATATGATTGTGGTTACCGTTTTATATATACAGATATTATTCAGTCAAGTAGCACAAATTTGCGATTACCAAGCAGTAGAGCAAGAGTCATTTCTTTTGACTGCTCCGTCAAGTCTGTCCAAACTTCATGCCGAATGTCTGTCCCTGGAACCTCCTCAAGGAGAGAAGATAAAGTGCCTTCGAGCTTCGTGAGGGACAAGAAGTTGGTTCCTGATTCGGATCCTCCTAGCATGCAAGATGTCAACATTCTATATCAGTTTTTTGACCAAAGGTCTATCAAATATCCTCATCCATTTTGCGTCCTTGTTGCATTTTCTGTTTGGGGAAATCTTTATATCTTTTACCAGTGATGTTCAATACTTGTTGGTTACCTTCAAAGATAAACTTTCAATTCATACTTGTCTTTACCAGTTTTTCTGTGTTTTTATCTGTGATTTGCTATGTTCCAGTACAAAGCTCATGGTGTTGACAGGAGCTGGAATCAGCACAGAATGTGGAATTCCCGACTACAGAAGGTTTTTTCTCTCCTTATTATTTCCTGTGTTATTGGCTCTTCTCAGTTGATCAGATTGATGACTTTGAGTAGTGGTTGCCAACAGTTAGGCTCTCATTGGACTATTAACTTCTTTGGTTGACATTCGCCAATTGCATTTCAAATCTACCTGTTTCATTCTTATGAATTTGTTCTGTCCACATACTTTGAGATAGGCACACCTTGGCATAATGTTAGGATTTGTTCCAGGTGGCCTTATAACATGGGTTTGAGTTGCAGAATCCTCTTGAGAATAAGGGTATGGGTGTGTACATCTTGCCTTCTCCACACCCTACATTTGCACATCATTGGAATTAGAGGTTACAGTGGTGTACATCCTGCCTTCTCCAGACGCTGCACTCGCAGGAGCCTTGATATTTCAATGGGTTTCTTTTGAATTGTATTATATATTAAGAGGTGTTTTGTATTTAATTATGCTGTTCTTGTGTATATAAGGGAAAATTTATCATTGTTTTGTTCAGGTTTTAAACTTTGGTATTCGGGCACAAATAGAATGAGAAACAGTGTTGGCATCATCGTGGACAAGACCTTGACACAAGATGTTGTAGATGTCAAAAGGGTTGGAGATAGAATTATGGCAATCAAAATTGTAATAGGACAGAACTCATCAATGTGATTAGTGCATACGCACCTCAAGTAGGGTTGGATACGAGTTTGAAGGAGAAATTTTGGGAAGATCTTGGAGACTTGGTGCAAGGAATTGCTTAGACGGAGAAGGTATTTATAGGAGGAGATTTAAATGGACACGTGGGCAAGGAGACAGGCAACTATGGAGGTTTTCATGGTGGCCATGGCTTTGGGGAGAGAAATGAGGATGGGGAAGCTATCTTGGATTTCGCAATGGCATATGATCTCTTCTTAGCCAACACCTTCTTTAAGAAGAGAGAAGAACATGTGATCACCTACAAGAGTGGATCGGCAAAAACACAAATAGATTTTCTTCTAATGAGGAAAAAGGATCTTATAACTTGTAAGGATTGCAAAGTTATACCGGGAGAGAGCTTGGCTAATCAACATCGCTTATTGGTGATGGATGTACATATCAAAAGAGAGAGAAAAGAGAACAAGACCTGGAAGTGCCCAAGGACTAGATGGTGGAATCTAAAGGAGAAAAACAAGCCATTTTCAAAGAGAAAGTAATCACCCAATGTGTGTGGAATAGAGAGGGGGAAGCTAGCCAAAGGTGGGATTCCATGGCTAGTTGTATCCGAAAAGTAGCAACAGAGGTATTAGGAGAGTCCAAGGGCTTTGCTCCACACCAAAAGGAATCTTGGTGGTGGAATGAGGGGGTACAAACAAAGGTGAAGGCTAAGAAGGAATGTTGTAAATCCCTATACAAGGATAGGACCGATGAAAATGGTGAAAGGTATAGAATAGCGAAGCTGGAGGCGAAGAAAGTTGATAGAGAAGCTAAGCTAGCGGCTTATGATGATATGTATAAGCGACTAGATACCAAAGAAGGAGAGTTGGATATCTATAAACTAGCTAGAGCAAGGGAAAAGAAGACAAGGGACCTAAACCAAGTGAGGTGCATCAAGGATGAGGATGGAAAAGTTCTTGCTACAGAGAACGCGGTCAAAGACAGATGGAGAGGTTATTTTCATAATCTTTTCAATGAAGGACATGAAATGAGTACTTTGGGGGAGTTGAGTAACTCAGAAGAGTGTAGAAACTACTCATTTTACCTCCGAATCAGGAAGGAAGAAGTGCTTGTAACTTTGAAAAAGATGAAGCATAGAAAAGCAATGGGTCCAGATAATATACCAATCGAAGTGTGGAAAGTCTTGGGAGAGGCGGGTATAGCATGGCTCACAGACCTTTTCAATAGGATTTTGAAAAGGAAGATGCCGAATGAGTGGCAAAAGAGCACTTTGGTGCCTATCTACAAGAATAAGGGTGACATACAAAATTGCATGAACTATAGGGTATTAAGCTAATGAGTCATACATTGAAGCTCTGGGAGAGAGTCATTGAGCATAGATTGAGGCAAGAGACGGGTTTCAGACAACCAATTCGGGTTCATGCCAGGGCGATCAACCATGGAGGCAATCTATCTCTTACGAAGATTGATGGAAGGATATAGAGATAGGAAAAAAGATTTACACATGGTTTTTATAGATTTGGAAAAAACATATGATAGGGTCCCAAGAGACATTCTTTGGAGGATTGTAGAGAAGAAAGGAGTACGAGTAGCATATATCCAAGCTATAAAGGATATGTATGATGGAGCAAAGACTGCCGTAAGAACTCATGAAGGACAAACCGAAAGCTTCCCCATAACTGTTGGGTTACATCAAGGCTCATCCTTAAGTCCTTACCTTTTTGCATTGGTAATGGATAGTTAACGGGACATATTCAAGATGATATTCCTTGGTATATACTTTTCGCAGACGATATGGTGTTGATAGATGAAACTCAAGAAAGGGTAAATGTGACGCTTAACCTTTGGATAGAAGTGTTGGAATCTAAAAGTATTCGCCTAAGCCGATCAAAGACAGAATATACGGAGTGCAAGTTCAGTGCAAATGGAGGCCAAAATGAGTTAGAGGTGAGGATCAGAGATCAGGAAGTACCAAAGAGCGACCGCTTTCGCTACCTAGGATCTATCTTGCAAAGAACGGAGAGTTAGATGGAGACCTCAACCATAGAATACAAGCAAGCTGGATGGATGAAGTGGAAGAGTGCATCCGGCATGTTGTGCAACCGCCATATGCCACTGAAGCTCAAGGGAAAATTTTATAGAATGGCAATAAAGCCGGCGATGCTGTATGGCATAGAATGTTGGGCGGTGAAGCATCAACACGTACATAAATGGGTGTAGCAGAGATGAGAATGCTTCGTTAGATGTGTGGGCACACAAGAAAGGATAAGATTAGGAATGAGGATATCCGAGGTAAAGTAGGAGTAGCTGAAATTGAAGGAAAGATGACAGAAAATCGGTTACGATGGTTTTGACATGTGCAAATAAGGCCTACTGACGCTCCGGTTAGAAGTTGAGACTACGGGACAGAGGTCCAGGGCCGAAGGGGTAGAGGAAGACCTAGGAAAACTTTGGAAGAGACTCTAAGAAAAGACTTAAGAGTACTTGGATCTAATAGAGGACATGACACAGAACGGAGCACAATGGTGTTCTGGGATTCATATAGCCGACCCCACTTAGTGGGAAAAGGCTTCGTTGTTGTTGTTGATTGTTTAGAGTTGGTTTTAATATTTATTTCCAAGTATCTGTTTTCTCAATGCGTACTTGGTATTATATGGTTGAATTTATTTCAGCCAAGGTTTACCAGGGAGCCTTAGCATATTATTAGACCATGATATTTATAATTGATGATTTGATGTTTTGAAATGCTAAATTTTCTCATCTATCAGTACTGTTTTCCTTGTTTTGCAGCCCCAATGGAGCTTATAGTTCTGGATTCAAACCAATTACCCATCAGGTGATCTGAAGGCATGTGCTGTGATACGTGTTCCTATAGCATTGTTTTTATCATAACAAGAGTTCCAGTTTAACCTTAGATTATTACTTTGTTTTTTTAGATAACCCTAAACAGAGGCAAAGACCTTCGTACTCTTACTCTCCTGGTTTTCAATGTATAAAGTAACTATTTCAGTGGTGGTTGTACATGCAATCTCTTTATACCATCAGTTTTAAATTTTATAGTTCCCTAAATTTTAATCATTGTCAATTGAAAAATATGTGGTGATGATAGTTGATATGGTTGTTCTGTATGCATCAAACCTAGGATAAAAGCAAACCTTTCGTTCGTGAATCGATTTCTTCACTTGAGATAATGGATTAGCGTATGCCTCTGCTAGTATTTAAGTTGTTCATGTATACATCTTTTGGTTTTAACAGAGAGGTGTCTTTTTCTTGCCTTTACTTCTGCTAACCATAGAGAGGTCTCAAGATTAGTATTATGATGTAATTATGTTAAATGAGGGACATCGTTTAGTTTCACCAAGTTTTCAGGATCGTATATTCAAATCTACATCACTCATCTTTCAAACAACGAATTGGAGCCTTGTAGCAGAAGAATCATGTTTACATCTCTGCACTGGCTGTACATGTCATTTAGTCATCATACGAAATTTTGGGAGCAAAGTACTGAATAAAAGAATCATGCGATGCATCGTTGTGACTTAGGCATTAACTCCATTATCCCTAAAACTCGTCTTTAAATGATTAATTTTAAAAGAACCACATAGAATGGAAAACTGCATCTTTAAACTTTACCTTCTTTGATATATTATCAAATATGTCATCTTGGTTAATTCATTTTCACTTCTTTTCCGCGGAGACTTTACTGCTGTTCAGTTTTATAATATAATCTCAAACCTCTAACTTCCATATCTGCTTTTACTGGATTGAACAGGAGTTTCTTCGTTCTAATCGGACCCGAAGGCGATATTGGGCAAGGAGTTATGCTGGATGGAGACGATTTACTGCTGCAGAGCCTGGTTCAGCTCATATTTCTTTAGCATCTCTAGAAAAAGCTGGCCGGATAAATTTTATGATTACACAAAATGTTGATAGGTAAGTCGCGGTATGTATCTTGAGCCTTCCGTATTTCAAGGATTGTTGATTTTAATTTATTAAATCTTGCAAATTAATGGTCTATATTACAGAAAACTTGAGGAAATCAATTTATCTGGATTTTGATTTGGATAAGGAATTCGTACTGCTATATACACAAATTTCTAGGTTGATATTTAAAATATTTCAGAAAAAAGACTCTTAAAAACTCAAACTATGAATATTTCTTTCCATTCAAACTATTCAAAGAAAAAGAGGGTCCTAAACTATCAATAATTCCTTCCCTTCATTCTCTCATGTCAGGTTGCATCACCGTGCTGGTAGTAACCCGGTCGAATTACATGGAACAGTATATTCTGTCATTTGTATAGACTGTGGTTTTTCCTTCCCCCGGAATCTATTTCAAGACCAAGTTAAGGCGCTTAATCCAAAGGTTAGTCTTGTGCAGTTTATTTATTCAGTAGGATTCATGGTTTTTAACTTCTAATGTTATGTTGTTTTTAATGATTTATAAATGTTAGTGTATAAGCATTGAGCTAATCTGAGCCTTGTATTTAGTTGTGTATCCACTTTGGTTAATTTCACCAAGTGTAGGGCTCGGATTGTAATTCTATCTAAGTGACATGTGGAAGGATCCTTTAACTTAGCTAGATGTGTGGCTGGCATCATTTCCTGATGTAATGGTGAGAATCCAGTTGCATAACAAACCATTATGCATTGCTGTGTGTGTGAGTGTGTGAATACAGAAGAGAAAGAACATTCTCTGCGATTTTGTAGAGTGAAGCACTCATATCCATCTTCATTCTTTCTGTGATTTCCTCTTCTTCTCTTAACAATTACCACACTCTAAATCAAACTTCATCATGGCCTCATAGCCATGTTCGATCATTTGAGATCTATGCGTAAATTGTGAAGCTAACGTCATCGACGTTGAAGCAATCGAGCTACATTCAAGCTCATTCCGGTTTAGGTGAAGTCGCCGAAACTCCATAGAACCCGATTTCGGTTTGTGTTCGTATCATCTAAGCTAAGAGATGGCTGGATCTAGAAGTTCTGAGGTGAGAACTCCGATCTTCTCCGGTGAGAACTCTGAGTTCAGGAGAATCAAGATGGTGACGATCTTCAAATCTCATGGGTTATGGAAATTAGTTGAAAAAGGGGTTGAGACCTCGGATTCAAAGAAGAATAAAGTTGAAGGAAGCTCAGAAGAGGAAGACAATGAGAAAACAGTGGCTGCATATACGCAAGATGCAAAAGCTTTGGGTATTATCCAGAGTGCGGTCTTGGATCAAATATTCCCTATGATTGCGAATGTTGATTCAGCAAAGATGGCATGGGATCTGCTATATGGAGAATACCACAGTGGTGATCAGGTATGGTCAGTTAAACTCCAAAATCTTTGACGTGAATTTGAGTATACTAGAATGCATGATGATGAATCATTATCTAGGTGTCTTACACGTTTGAATGAACTGATTAACCAAATGAAGAGGTTTGGTGAAGTGTTATCTAATGAAAGACTCTACAAAAGGTTTTAATCAGTCTTAGCAAACCCTATGATCCCATTTGCCTTGTGATTGAGAATACAAAATGTATAGAGACTGTTGAATTACAGGAGGTTCTAGCAATCCTTAAAAGCCAGGAACAGCGTTTTGACTTGCACACTGTTGATGCTACTGATAAGGCATTTGCCTCCTTCTCTGTGAGTTCGAAAGGGCAATAGAATAGGGGTAACTCTTAACCCAGTTGTTTTAAATCTCAGAAGAACTGGAATGCAAAAGGCAGGAAGTGGGATTCAAAGCCTAAGTTTCAGCAAAGGTTATTTATGGGTCCTACACATAGTGCAAACTCTTCATTTTCCATGAATCAAGAAGTGATAAAACCTCAGTGCAAAGTATGCTCAAAGTTTCACTTTGGTGAGTGCAGATATAAGGGGAAATTCAAATGACACAACTATGATATCACTTCTTGTGGGTAAGGCTATTCAAAAGGCGAACTGTGCAAATCAATTGGAGGTATCTGGTAATCTATTCTATGCTAATTGTGCAACTATTGAAGTAAAGGTGAATGGAAATTGGTACATTGACAATGGATGCAGCAACCACATGACAGGAAATGTCAATCTTCTTGTCGATGTGAGAACCAATGTGGCAGGAAAAGTGCAAATGCCAATTGGTGATCTAGTTAATGTGGTAGGAATGGGATCTCTTGTGATTGATACAACCAAAGAAGGAAATATATCTGAGAAGTGATGTATTTACCAGGGTTGAAAGAGAACTTGTTAAGTGTTGGTCAGATGGATGGGCATGATATTACTTGCTATTTGGAGGAAAAGTATGCAGTGTTTTTGATGGACCATCACTTGACAACTTGGTTATAAAAGTGAGAATGAAAGAGTGCAAGATGTTATCCTCTGTCTTTGATGCATAATGATTAGATTGTGTTAAAGACAAGTATCACTCCTTGTACCTGGACTTGGCACAAGAGGCTAGGTCATCTAAATCTCAGGAGTCTTAAGCAACTTAGAGAGAATGAGATGGTGCACGGTCTTCCACATCTCGAAGATGTTGATGGTGTATGTGAAGGATGTCAGTTGGGAAAACAACATTGAGATTGGTTTCAAAAAGAGCAAGCTTGGAGAGCAAGCAGTCCGTTGGAACTAATACGCATTGACTTGTGTGATCCCATGCAAAATGAATCAATTGCTGGGAACAAATACTTTATGCTTCTTATTGATGATCACACAAGGATGTGATGAGTTTATTTCCTAAGACAAATCTGAGGCCCTAACTTGCTTCAGAAAGTTCAAAGCAATGGTGGAATTACAGTGTGGTTTCAAAGTGAAGTGTTTAAGGAGTGACATAGGGGGTGAGTTTGTGTCAAATGAGTTTGACAGGTTCTTAGAGACTGAAGGAATTTGAAGACAGCTATCTATGGCCTATACTCCACAGTAGAATGGAGTAGTGGAGAGAAAAAATAGAACAGTTGTAGAGATGGCTAAGGCAATGCTTCATGATAAAAGCATGCAATACTTTCTGTGGGCAGAAGCTGTACATACAGCTGTTTACATTCTAAATAGGTCACCTACAAAAGCTCTTGGCAATCTAACTCCATTTGAGGCCTACAATGGCAGAAAACCAGGTATTGGACATTTAAAAGTGTTTGGATCACTTTGTTATGTGTATATACCAACTAAGATAAGACAAAAGCTTGATGCAAAGAGTGTCAAAGGTGTATTTGTGGGATATGTAACATGTGAGGTACATAATATTTGATCCATGCACTAAGAAGTTAATTTTGTCAAGAGATGTAGTTTTTTATGAAGCCATGTCCTGGAATTGGAAAGAAAAGTCAGAGAATTATGTTGTTGTGACCTACATTCAGAATCAATCTGAAAATGTGATTGGTGTGAATTCACACGGGTTGAGTGAGATTGAAGGAACTCCTTCTAGTTCCACTACTCCTTCCAATACTAAAGAACAAGAAAGTATCATTCATGAGTCTGCAAAGATCTCACAACCTTATGATCATACTCCAGTGAAGTGGAGATATATAAGCGACATTCTGGCATAGTGCAATCGTTTCGTTGTGGAACCTGAGAAATATGAAGAAGCTACACAAGACAAGTCCTGGATTAAAGCAATGGAAGAAGAATTGTCAATGATTGAGAAAAATGGAACTTGGGAGCTTGTAGATAGGCCAAGTGATAAGCATGTCATTGGAGTGAAATGGGTGTTCAAAACTAATCTAAATTTGGATGGCTCAGTACAAAAGAACAAGGCAAGGTTAGTTGCCAAGGGGTATGTGTAGAAACCAGGAATCGATTACAATGAAACTTTTGCTCCAGTTGCTAGACTGGATACAATTAGAACCTTAATTGCTCTTGATGCACAAAGAAGCTGGAAGCTGTACCAACTAGATGTTAAATCTGCATTTTTGAATGGAAAATTGCAGGAAGAGGTGTATGTTGACCAACCTGAGGGATTTGTAATTGACGACAAGGAGGACAAGGTCTACAGATTGCACAAGGCTCTTTATGGACTAAAGCAGGCACCTAGAGCCTGGTATGGGGAGATTAACAACTACTTTGCTTAGTGTGGATTTGAGAAAAGCTTGAGTGAAGCAACTCTCTATACTAAGACAAGGGGAGATAAAGAAATCCTAATTGTGTCTATCTATATAGATGACATAGTATATACTGGAAGCAATGAAGAGATGTTGAAAGAATTTAAAGAAGATATGAACGTGAAATATGAAATGACAGATTTAGGACTCCTTCATCATTTCCTAGGAATGGGAGTGATACAATCTGATTCAAGCATTTTCATTCATCAAAGGAAGTATGCTTCTTCCTTGTTGGATAAATTTGGCTTGAAAGAGTGCAAATTTGTCTCCATCCCTCTTGTTGCTATTGAAAAATTAAGCAAAGATGATGGAAGTGGTGCAGCAAGTGGAGCAATATAGGAAGATTGTGGGAAGTCTATTATACCTCACTGCTACAAGGCCGGTTGTGATGTATGCAGCGAGTTTACTAGCTAGATATATGCATTGCCCTACAAACAAACACTATGGGACAGACAAGAGAGTGCTCATATATGTTAAAGGGACGCTGGATTATGGTTTGAAGTATGAGAAAGGCAAGAAGGCAGTCTTAATTTGATATTGTGAGTGACTGGGGAGGTTCCATTGATGATAGCAAAAGCACATCCGGTTATGCATTCTCATTTGGAAGTAGAGCTTTCTCATGGGCATTTGTTAAGCAAAATTGTGTTGCACTCTCAACTGCGGAGGCAAAGTATATCAATGCATCAAAAGTTACAGCTCAGGCTATCTAGCTTAGATTTGTTTTGGAAGATATTCGGGAGCTACAAACAGAAGCAACTCCTTTGCAGTGTGATAACACATCTGCAATCTCAATAACTAAGAATCCAGTGTTTCATTAGCGGACAAAACACATTGACAGAAGGTATCACTTCATCAAAGATGCTTTGCAGCAAGGAATTATCGATTTGGTCTACTGTCCTACCAATGATCAAGTGGCAGACATTTTTACCAATGATCAAGTGGCAGACATTTTTACCAAAGCTTTACCTAAGGAAAGGTTCAACTACCTCAGAGATAAACTTGGAGTCATATCAGCTCAAAGCTTAAAGAGGAGTGTTAGTGTATAAGCATTGAGCTAATCTGAGTATTAGGATAAATAAGCCTTGTATTTAGTTGTGTATCCACTTTGGTTAATTTCACCAAGTGTAGGGCTCATATTGTAATTCCATCTAAGTGATGTGTGGAAGGATCCTTGAACTTAGCTAGATGTGTGGCTGGGATCATTTCCTGATGTAATGGTGAGAATCCAGTTGCATAACAAACCATTATGCCTTGCTGTGTGTGTGAGCGTGTGAATACAGAAGAGAAAGAACATTCTCTGCGATTTTGCAGAGAGTGAAGCACTCATATCCATCTTCATTCTTTCTGTGATTTCCTCTTATTCTCTTACAAATTAGCACACTCTAAATCAAACTTCATCAAACTCCATCAAGAATAAACTTAATCAAGTAGTATAATGGATTACGATTTTGCAAGAGAGAGGATTTATGAAAGAAAGAAGACAGTGAATGTACTTAGGGAATAATAATAGGGAACTTATAAGGGGTGTGAAATATAAGTGTAGACGGATATTGCTATGGTAGATGAGATTCGAATAGAGTGTAGACGGATATTACTACAGTTCATTACGGGGCACATAGATTTCTAAAGGGAGACCTGGAAAAGTCTTATCTATTGAGAAACAACCAATGCTTTGATAAATACTTGGTTTCTTTTTCGGTAAAATCTGATCTGCCCAAACTGTAGGCACTGACCCCTATAAATTACTCAATAATTGTTCGTCCTCCGTAATCACCTTGTCAGAAATTTGTACATTTTTATTTAATGAAATTTTTTGATGCACCTATAAAGTTTTGATGTATGTTTCAAGTATATTTAGTATTCCAAGTTTTCAACTAGAGAAAGAATGGAAAAAATTGACACGTTTGATGCTATGGATAGCGGAATAGATTCTTGCCTGAAAACTGACCCTATGCACTCTCTCAGCCCTACCCACCGATGGCTACCCACCATCTGAGCCACCACACAAACTGGAGCACGCACACACACACAAACACACACATAACACACGTGTATATATATATATATATATATGGGCTTTCTATCCCATAGTAAAATTCAGCAATCAAAACTGTCTAGATTTTAGATTATCATTCAATTGTCAACAACAACAACAACAAAGCCTTTTCCCACTAAGTAGGGTCGGTTATATGAATCTTAGAGCGCCATTGCGCTCGGTTCTGTGTCATGTCTTTCATTAGATCCAAGTACTCTAAGTCATTTCTTAAGAGTCTCTTCCAAAGTCTTCCTAGGTCTTCCTCTACCCCTTCGGTCCTAAACCTCTGTCCTGTAATCGCATCTTCTAATCAGAGCGTCGGTAGGCCTTCGTTTCACATGTCCAAACCACTGTAACCAATTTTCTCTCATCTTTCCTTCAATTTCGGCTACTCCTACTTTACCTTGGATATCCTCATTCCTAATCTTATCCTTTCTCGTGTGCCCACATATACAACGAAGCATTCTCATCTTCGTTACACCCATTTTATGTACGTGTTGATGCTTTACTGCCCAACATTATGTGCCATAAAGCATTGACGGCCTTATTAGCATCCTATAAAATTTTCCCTTGAGCTTCAGTGGCATACGACGGTCACACAACACGCCGGATGCACTCTTCCACTTCATCCATCCAACTTGTATTCTATGGTTGAGGTCTGCATCCAACTCTCCGTTCTTTTGCAAGATAGATCTTAGGTAGCGAAAGCGATCGTTTTTTGGTACTTCCTGATCTCCAATCCTCACCCCTAACTCATTTGAGCCTCCATTTGCACTGAATTTTCAACTGTCATTCCTGCAAAAAATTTCAAATCCAAAACTGTTGTCATCTAAAATGTGCAAAAAAGAAAAACGGTTTGATAGATAAAGCTGAAATTCAAATGAGGATAATCAAACGGCTAAACAGTTATTGATTTACCCATTTTTGGCATGGATAAACATTGAAAGAGAATCTAAAAAATGAACGATTTCGATTGTTGAATAATACCCTAGAAATAGGGTGTCAATAACTTAAGAAAGTTATGGACATCCTTAAGATAGAAAGCATTTGCCTCCTTAGAAAGTAATTTTATTTAAATTTTTTCGTTGAGTTATTTCGTGAATAATGGAGTGAAGTTTGTTTAGGTTGCAAACTCATGTATTAATCGGAATGGTGGACTAATGAGCAAGTAAATTTCCTTGTACTGCAGTGGGCAGAGGCAATTGAAAGTTTGGATTATGGTAACCCCGGATCAGAAAAGAGCTTTGGCATGAAGCAAAGACCTGATGGTGATATTGAAATTGATGAAAAATTTTGGGAAGAGGAATTTCACATCCCTACGTGTCCAAAGTGCAATGGAGTGCTTAAGCCTGATGTAAGACATTTGCCTAATTTATTTAACCGATAGGAACGTAAGTAAGTCGTATTTCTTCTTGTCAAAAATGGTTATCATATCTTGTAAAAAATCTCTATTAACACTTAAGAATTTTCAGTATCATTCTTACATGCATAATATTCTCATGCGGTCAGTCTTTCATTGATATGTTTCAGTAGTGGTGCTTGTATATTGAGTGAACCTGACCAAGAGGAATTTTGAAGGTCTATAGGCAGTTTTTTTTAAGGAGTCTGAGAAAAAAAAGTCATTTTTAGGGGCCCTGCGTTTATTGCAAGTTAACGTCAAAGTATTTTAATACTATAAGGGAGTGAAAATATTTATTCTTTACGTTTTTTTGTAAATGCAAACATGTATGCATAGAGAGTCAGAGACACTGACAATTTAGAGATGAAGATTATCATCGATGTATTCTAAATTCTAATACAACAAGGGAGTGATTAGATTTATTCTTTACACTTCTCTACACTCAACAATATAGCAAGATAAGCATTGACAAATTTTTCTGACGCAAATCAACCACTGTAATAGAAGTTGCATTAACAAACCCATGTTCATATGTACCAAAGCATATGATTCCTTGAGTTGAGAAAATGCAATATTGTAGTTAGTAAACACAAATATAATATGTACGCAGTTAGTTCATTGGAAGTGAATGCTTGAAAGATGTATGGTTTTTTGTTTCTAATTTTTTTGTTGGGTCTGGATTTTGGCATGTTTACCTCCTGTTGTGTGACTTTATTGCCTTTTAGTAGTCTTTACTGGGTTTTGTCCTATAGGGGCTATCTTTCCATAGTTCTGTAAATATTTCCAATATACATGTATTGCTGAGTCCCATATCAAGTCAAGCAATTACAAACATATGTTCTAAGTTGTTATTTTAATGCTTTGAGTAATACTGTCAGGATCGAAAAGAAAATAAAATTGTTTGGAGAATGAAATAGCATCGCAGTAATACTGGTGGTCTCCTTTATTATATTATGTGTCGAATGTCACCTCTAATTTTTGAGCAAGTTCTAATGCCACCCTGTGGTTTATAGTTGATGAATTGATCCAATGCCCCCAAAAACTTAGGTTTTTGCTTCGGTAGCCCCTCCGTCATCTGTCTGTCAAAACTCACTTGCACATTACATGATAATGACATGGTGCTCCAAGGAATTAGGTAACAAATGCTGAACGTTTAAATTATTTCAAGTTCAATTTACTTTCCTACATTTGTTCTTTATTGTGTTTTTTGAAACACTTTCTCCTATTCATGTTCTCCCTCTCCTCCGCTTAGTTTCCCACCACCACTCACCCACCTCCCGTCTCTTCCTCTTTCCTATTCCTCATTCCATGACAACCAGACTCAGCTTTTGCACCCCACAGATTATTCATTACCAGCCCAGCTATCCTCCTTACCCAAACATATGGTATCCAGGCAAAGCCTCAATTTTTGAGGGTTCTCAAAGAAGTAAGTCAAAGCTCCACTTTTGCCCCATTGAAACCGCAAGAAATTACAGCACCAATGACCATGAGCATGCATTTTGACTAGACATGTGAATCCAAAACCCCATACAACCACGGAGCATCCAGAAAATGAAACTCTAACACACTTACCCACGTCCTCTCTCTCTATTCATCAGCAACCGCGTTGCGTTTCTCCTCATAACACCACCTTAACGTTTTTGTGTTTTTTTTTTGGTTATATTTTCAAAATAAGAACGCTTATTGCATTATATTTTGGATCATTTTATGTTTGCTGTGAATTAGTGATGGTGTCTATATATGGATCTGCAGTAGAAAGGCTGAAGTAGGAAGATGGTAGGTGCTGTGGAGGGAGACTTTGGAAGGAGAGAGAGGAGGGTGCATACAAGGAAGGAGAGACAGAGTGCGAGGAGTTTTAAGCAGAAAAAGAGTAGACACACGTAGATAGTTTTGCTTCTTAAGAAATAATATGGGTCTTAGGTATATCATGATTTCTTCATTTTAGAAATAAATAGGCAATGATGGGCTTCTTGAACCTGTCAGAAATTCGATCACCATGCGACATTACTTGAAATAGGAGTTGTATACCTTATGTAGTAACTTCTGAAAGTGAAGGTATCTTGTGTTTCTCGTGGGTTTATTTTTTCTTCCAAGAATGCACAAGTAAATTAGAACATTGTATATGTCGGTTATCCATATTATGTGGTATCATTCTGGAAATGAGTCACTTATTTATTGTGTAGTCATGCATGTGCTTTCTATGAATTCTCACCCACTTTTCATTGCACCGTTTTACTTAATAGATGTGTACGCTTCCAATATTTCGTACATCTCAATACACTTTTTTGTTGCATGGTGAATGTCAAGGTTATCTTCTTTGGTGATAATGTCCCCAAGGACAGAGCTGAGAAGACAATCCAAGCTGCAAAAGAATGTGATGCTTTTCTCGTTCTAGGATCATCACTAATGACCATGTCTGCTTACCGGCTTGTCAGGTGCATATCTTTCTTTCATTATGTAGTTGTACTTTAGTTTTTGATCAAATCATTTTGTATGCCCGTCCTAATTCTACACCAGATTCCCTTGTCATAGGGCATTTATAATGCCAAAATCTAACCCAATTTTGGAAGATAAAAAACTTAAAACCATAAATGTATATGCCTTCGAAGCATGTAAATGCTTAGGGACACATCACAATCACTAGAGGTTGGTTGCTTTATGCCTTAGTCACTCTCCATTCTGGTGCTAGACAAGGTTTAATAAATTCTAGAACATTGGTGTCTTCCGATGAGAAAAATCTGATACAAGCAAAGGAAAAGTGTTGAGAATATCGCATTTATACGAGAAAAATAGAACAAATTCCGGAAATCGAAATACAAATAATCAAGATAAATAATACCAAGAATTTAGGTGGTTCGACAATGTGTGCCTGCGTCCACGGAACAGCAACAACAATCTTTCACTATACCAATAATGAGTACAACCAATAATCTTGCCAAATCTCTAGAAATAGGACTTAACGAAAAACCTAAAAGAACAACAACAACAAAGCCTTTTCCTACTAAGTGGGGTCAGCTATATGAATCCTAGAACGCCATTGCGCTCGGCTTTGTGTCATGTCCTCCGTTAGATCCAAATACTCTAAATCTTTTCTTAGGGTCTCTTCCAAAGTTTTCCTAGGTCTTCCTCTATCTCTTTGGCCATGAACCTTTATCCCGTAGTTACATCTTCGAACCGGAGCGTCAGTAGGCCTTCTTTGCACATGTCAACCACCGTAACCGATTTTCTCTCATCTTTCCTTCAATTTTGGCTACTCCTACTTTACCTCGGATATCCTCATTCCTAATCTTATCCTTTCTCGTGTGCCCACACATCCAATGAAGCATCCTCATATCCGCTACACCCATTTTGTGTACATGTTGATGCTTCACCACCAAACATTCTGTGCCATATAGCATCGTCGGCCTTATTGTCGTCCTATAAAATTTTCCCTTGAGCTTCAGTGGCCTACGACGGTCACATAACACGCCGGATGCACTCTTCAACTTCATCCATCCAGCTTGTATTCTATGGTTGAGATCTCCATCTAATTCTCCATTCTTTTGCAAGATAGATCCTAGGTAGCGAAAACGGTCGCTCTTTGGTATTTCCTGGTCTCCGATCCTCACCCCTAACTCATGTTGGCCTCCATTTGCACTGAACTTGCACAACATATATTCTGTCTTTGATCGGCTTAGGTGAAGACCTTTAGATTCCAACACTTCTCTCCAAAGATTAAGCTTTGCATTTACCCCTTCCTGAATTTCATCTATCAACAATATATCGTTTGCGAAAAGCATACACCAAGAAAATATCATCTTGAATATGTCCTGTTAACTCATCCATTACCAACGCAAAAAGGTAAGGACTTAAGGATTGTTGATGCACAAAATCAGTGAGGACTTTGGTACAACAGAAAGTATTAAGTTTGTGATTTTCGTTAGATTACTCCGGTCATTAGTGTGGATAAGTATGTAAATGGATAGAGACAGGAAAGCAAACACAAGATGTACGTGATTCACCCAGATTGGCTACGTCCACGAAGTAGAGGAGTTCTCATTAATTGTGAAGGGTTTACACAAGTACATATGTTCAAGCTATCCTTTAGTGAGTACAAGTGAATGATTTAGTACAAATGATATTAGGAAATATTGTGGAAGAATGATCACGTAATCACGAAACTTCTAAGTACCGAAGTGTGGTATCGTCTTCACTTGCCTTATCTGTCTCATAGGTAGATGTGGCATCTTCTCTGGAAGTACTCTTCCTCCATCCAGGGGTGGTATCTTTAACTGGTGGACATGCACAAGGTAATGTATCAATTTCACTTGAAGCTTACTTGTAGTTTCAGGCTTGGTCAAGCGCGATACAAACCATGTAGTAGGAGTCCCCCAAGTCGCCGAGCTAGGGGATCTACTGAAAGAGGTGACAAACAAGGTAAGCAATCAGAGCTCCAAGCAATCAGTCCCAAATCAGAAGTTTGATTTCAAGTTCCGGCTGATTGTTCTCATTCTCCCTATCTTGCAGGCAGCATGAGGGATAAAGAGAAGAAAAAGGAGAAGAGATGATATGAGATACTTTTGCTTTTGAAGAAGTAACTTTCCACAGGCTTATTCTTGAACTGGGCTGGAGGGTTTTCTGGTTTCCTCCAGAGTATAAGGCCGACTGAAGAATTTGAGGGTCAAAACAAGTCTATCAAATCTAGAGTACGTTCAACCCTGCTGATATGGGATACTTTTGCTGTTGACAAAGTAGTGGATGTATCGGCACGTGTTTTGTTACGCTTGTCTCCACATGCTTCCTTGTATCCTTCTCACATTCCCTATCTGTTCCTCAGGCAGATGTGATATCTTCTCTGGAAGCATAAGATGTTGAAGATGAATACTCGAGAGCAATGTCAGGTAAGTAATCAAGTAAGGGGTTCCTGACTGGAAGCTTGATTCCAAGTGCTGACTAATTGTTCTCTTTCTCCTTGTCTTGCAGGTAAGAACAAGGCCAAAGGAAAAGACAGGGAAAAAGCATGATATGGGATACTCTTGCTTTTAACCCTGATGGTATGAGATATTCTTGCTTTGGTGTAGCTTGTTTGTAGAGGTATTATCGGGAGGAAAGAAAGCTGAGTATTTCGAGAGGCTTCGTTGGGAGTGCCCTCTCAGATATGAGGAAGGGTTGAGCATTTTTGCAAGTCTACCTGTCCGTTGAGGATGAAGGTTGACATATATAGGAGTCTCCCTAACAAGTAGTAATGCTATTTATTTACCCTGCTTGGTCATAGCACGGTAGTGGGAGCTGTCAGCTTCACGTGTTTTAACTCTATCAGAACACTTTGAAAAAATGGTCTGTGGTATCTGGAAAGCTGATGTTGCGTGTGTAGATTACAGCAAGCTTTATCCAAGGAGATCTGGCTCTCGAAGTTGAGAAAGCGGTGCCTCTTCGGTTTTCGAACAAGCAATCCTATCGAGGGTCTGGCTCTCAAGATTCGAAGAACGGTGCCTCTTCGATTTTTGAGAAAGCAATCCTGCTGGGAGTCTGGCTCTCGAGATTCAGAAAGCGGTGTCTTCGATTTTTGAGAAAGTAATCATGTTGGGAGTCTGGCTCTCAAGATTCGGAGGGCGGCGCCTCTTCGATTTTGGAGCAAGCAATCTTGTTGGGAGTGGTTTCTCAAATGTGAGTAAAGGTTGGGCATGTTTGCTAGTTTACCTTGCCACGGAGCACATAGGTTGACACACAGGGACTTTCCAATTATCTAGCAGTGGTGCTGTTCCTTTACCCTTGTAGGTAATAATATGGTAGCTAGACCTTCAAAATTTACGTGTCTAACCTTTGTTAGTGTTGTTTCTTTGCTATTCTTTTACCCTTCTTGGTAATAGCGATGTAGTGGGAGCTGCAAGCTTTACGTGTCTAAACTTTGTCAGAGATCTTTGGCAAAGTTATCTGTGGTACCCATGAGCTGATGATGCGTGTGGAAAGTGGATGATTGAACAGTAAAATTCACGTGCTTTCTGCTTCACCAGAAATCTTCGACAGAATGCCCGTAATTTCAGCAAAGCTAAGTGTGCATGTGATAGTTGCTGACAAGGCTAAAAAAGCAGGTGCCTCTTCGATTTATGAGATCGACCCTCGTGGTATCTGAGCAGCCCAACTTTTGAGAAAGCAAGCACCTCTTCGATTTCTGAGATCGACCTTCGTGGTCTTTGAGCAGCTCAGCTTTTGAGAAAGCAAACGCCTTTTCGATTTCTGAGATCGGCCCTCGTGGTCTCTGAGTAGCCCAGCTTTTGAGAAAGCAAATGCCTCTTCGATTTCTGAGCAGGTGCCTCTTCGATTTCTGAAGCTCCGTCGAGTGCAGATTTTTATAGAGGCTGGCATTAAGTTCTAAAGCACATTTGAATCTCCACCAGTAGAAGCTCTCTTCTTGCACTTTTAAGATCTTGATTTGTCCGACCTCTTCTCTCTTCAACACCTTTGAAAATGTCTGGCCCCTTCGACCGTCGTTTTGACTTGAACCTTGTTGAAGAGGCAGCCACGCCTTCTCTAGACAACATATGGCGCCCATCCTTCTTATCCCCTACTGGTCCTCTTACCGTTGGGGATTCCGTGATGAAGAATGATATGACCGCTGCGGTGGTGGCCAGGAACCTTCTCTCCCAAAGATAACAGACTATTTTCCAAACAGTCTGATGAGTTGGTTGTTAAGGATTCTTTGGCTCTGAGTGTTCAGTGTGCAGGTTCTGTGTCTAATATGGCCCAACGCCTATTTACTCGAACCCGCCAAGTTGAATCATTGGCGGTTGAAGCGACGAGTCTCAAACAGGAGATTAGAGGGCTCAAGCATGAGAATAAACAGTTGCACCGGCTCGCACATGACTATGCTACAAACATGAAGAGGAAGCTTGACCAGATGAAGGAATCTGATGGTCAGATTTTACTTGATCATCAAAGGTTTGTGGGTTTGTTCCAAAGGCATTTATTGCCTTCGTCTTCTGGGGTTGTACCGCGTAATGAAGCTCCAAATGATCAACGTCTGATGCCTCTTCATTCTAGGGTTCCGTCCAGTACTGAGGCTCCGAATGATCCCCCCACCGGTGCCTTCTTTTTCTAGGGCTTTACCGACTGCTGAGACTTTTCCTAAGCAACCTTTGTGAAGATTCCCTATTGTTTGTTATTTTTACTCATGTATATGTACATATTTGTAACTTATCGGAGATATCAATAAATAAGCTTTGCTTCATTTCAACGTATTGTGTTAACTACACCAAAGCCTTCTTCATTAAGTTCTTTGATTTTTTTTCTTTTGTTGAAGCTTGTATGAGTGGAGTATGTAGGTTGAGGTAGTGTTCCCTTAATTTCCCAAGTGAGGAAAACTTCTCGGTTGGAGACTTGAAAAATCCAAGTCACTGAGTAGGGTCGGCTATATGAATCTTAGAACGCCATTGTGCTCGGTCCTGTGTCATGTCCTCCGTTAGATCCAAGTACTCTCAATCTTTTCTTAGAGTCTCTTCCAAGGTTTTCCTAGGTCTTCCTCTACCCCTTCGGCCCTGAAGCTTTGTCCCGTAGTCGCATATTCTAACCGGAGCGTCAGTAGGCCTTCTTTGCGCATGTCCAAACCACCGTAATCGATTTTCTCTCAACTTTCCTACAATTTCGGCTACTCCTACTTTACCTCGGATATCCTCATTCCTAATCTTATCATTTCTCGTGTGCCCACATATCCAACGAAGCATCCTCATCTCCGCTACACCCATTTTGTGTACGTGTTGATGCTTCATCGCCCAACATTCTGTGCCATACAGCATTGCCGGCCTTATTATCGTCCTATAAAATTTTCCCTTGAGCTTCAGTGGCATACGGCGGTCACACAACACGCCTGATGCACTCTTCCACTTCATCCATCCAGCTTGTATTCTATGGTTGAGATCTCCATCTAATTCTTCGTTCTTTTGCAAGATAGATCCTAGATAGCGAAAACGGTCGCTCTTTGGTATTTCCTGATCTCCGATCCTCACCCCTAACTCATTTTGGCCTCCATTGGCACTGAACTTGCACTCTATATATTTTGTCTTTGATCGGTTTAGGCGAAAACCTTTAGACTCCAACACTTCTCTCCAAAGGTTAAGCTTTGCATTTACCCCTTTCTGAGTTTCATCTATCAACACTATATCGTTTGCGAAAAGCATACACCAAGGAATACCGTCTTGAATATGTCCTGTTAACTCATCCATTACCAATGCAAAAAGGTAAGGACTTAAGGATGAGCCTTGATGTAATCCTACAATTATGGGGAAGCTTTCGGTTTGTCCTTCATGAGTTCTTACGGCAGTCTTTGCTCCTTCATACGTATCCTTTATAGCTTGGATATATGCTACTCGTACTCTTTTCTTCTCTAAAATCCTCCAAAGAATGTCTCTTGGGACCCTATCATACGTTTTTTTCCAAATCTATAAAGACCATGTGTAAATCCTTTTTCCCATCTCTATACCTTTCCATCAATCTTCGTAAGAGATAGATTGCCTCCATGTTTGAGCGCCCTGGCATGAATCCGAATTGGTTGTCTGAAACCCGTGTCTCTTGCCTCAATCTATGCTCAATGACTCTCTCCCAAAGCTTCATTGTATGACTCATTAGCTTAATACCCCTATAGTTCATGCAATTTTGTACGTCGCCCTTATTCTTGTAGATAGGCACCAAAGTGCTCTTTCGCCACTCATTTGGCATCTTCTTCGTTTTCAAAATCCTATTGAAAAGGTCAGTGAGCCATGCTATACCTGTCTCTCCCAAGACTTTCCACACTTCGATCAGTATATCATCTGGGCCCACTGCTTTTCTATGCTTCATCTTCGTCAAAACTACAACCACTTCTTCCTTCCTGGTTCGACGATAAAAGGAGTAGTTTCTACACTCTTCTGAGTTACTCAACTCTCCTAAAGAAGTACTCATTTCATGTCCTTCATTGAAAAGATTATGAAAATAACCTCTCCATCTGTCTTTGACCGCGTTCTTTGTAGCAAGAACCTTTCCATCCTCATCCTTGATGCACCTCACTTGGTTTAGGTCCCTTGTCTTTCTTTTTTTTCCTTGCTCTAGCTAGTTTATAGATATCCAACTCTCTTATTTTGGTATCTAGTCGCTTATACATATCGTCATAAGCCGCTAACTTAGCTTCTCTCACAGCTTTCTTCGCCTCTTGCTTCGCTCTTCTATACCTTTCACCATTTTCATCGGTCCTATCCTTGTATAAAGCTTTACAACATTCCTTCTTAGCCTTCACCTTTGTTTGTACCTCCTCATTCCACCACCAAAATTCTTTTTGGTGTGGAGCAAAGCCTTTGGACTCTCCTAATACCTCTTTTGCTACTTTTCGGATACAACTAGCCATGAAATCCCACCTTTGGCTAGCTTTCCCCTCTCTATCCCACACACACTGGGTGATTACTTTCTCTTTGAAAATGACTTGTTTTTCTCCTTTTAGATTCCACCATTTGGTCCTTGGGCACTTCCAAGTCTTGTTCTTTTTTCTCACTCTTTTGATATGTACATCCATCACCAACAAGCGATGTTGATTAGCCAAGCTCTCTCCCGGTATAACTTTGCAATTCTTACAAGTTATTATGATCCCCTTTTCCTCATTAGAAGAAATCTATTTGTGTTTTTTGACGACCCACTCTTGTAGGTGATCACATGTTCTTCTCTCTTCTTAAAGAAGGTGTTGGCTAAGAAGAGATCATATGCCATTGCAAAATCCAAGATAGCTTCCCCATCCTCGTTTCTCTCCCCAAAATCATGGCCACCATGAAAACCTTGATAGTTGCCTGTCTCCCTGCTCACGTGTTCATTTAAATCTCCTCCTATAAATAACTTCTCCGTCTAGGCAATTCCTTGCACCAAGTCTCCAAGGTCTTCCCAAAACTTCTCCTTCGAACTCGTATCTAACCCTACTTGAGGTGCGTATGCACTAATCACATTGATGAGTTCTTATCCTATTACAATCTTAATTGCCATGATTCTATCTCTTACCCTCTTGAATCTAACAACATTGTGTCAAGGTCTTGTCCACGTGATGCCAACACCGTTTCTCGTTCTATTTGTGCCTGAATACCAAAGTTTAAACCCTGAGTTTTCTAGATCCTTTGCCTTAAGACCAACCCACTTAGTTTCTTGTAGGCACATAATATTTATCCTTCTCCTCACCATAACTTCCACTACTTCCATAGATTTTCCCGTTAAGGTTCTTATATTCCACGTTCCTAAACGCATTCTACTATCTTGAACTCTACCTTTCTGTCCTAGTTTCTTCACCCTCCCCCGTCTAATAGGATCAAAGTACTTCTTTTGTGTGTCGTGTGTAAAGTTGACAGGAGCATATGCTCCCAAACAACTTTGAGTGGAGTCGTTTGAAAAGAAGTTTCTATGGCCCCCTTACTCATTTAACACTGCATTCGGGTGCCGATGGAGATACAGCGACCATTGCTCACTTATCACTGTGCTCGGGCCATACAGCACGCCACTTACGGGTGATGCCTTAGCTTTAGCGCGATTTCGTTCTAGATTCATTTTCATAAGGATTCGACGTAACTGAAGAGTGCCGGCTGTCGACTACCTGACGCCCTCCCCCTCCTCCTTTATTCGGGCTTGGGACTGGCAATGTAAGATAAACTTACACAGGCGGAGTTACGAAAAACCTAAAAGAACAAGAACAAGAAATTCACTCTGTTTTCTTTTCTCTCGCACACACTTTACAATATTATCTCACTCTAATCCCTTGAGTGGTATACAATTTATTGTTTTGCTCCCTTCCTTTTTATATAGACATAATAAAGGTCTTCTTCAATAAGGATTATTAATCCTAATTGGAAACTAGTTATAAAACCTACTCCAATTGAGAAACTAACTCCAATTGGATAAACAACTCCAATTGGGAAAACAACTCCGATTGGGAAAACAATTTAATCCTCCAAGACTATTAATTCCCAATAGACTTGGTACAACTTATCATGGGCTGGAAAAAACCCAACGATCTCCCCCTCCAGACCATGAGGAAGGTATACCAAAATAGGATTGCTCCACTTGACCAAACTCCCATTGATCAAACTTCTCATTAGCCAAGACCCTCTTGATTAGACTTCTCTTGACCAGGCTCCCCCTAATTGCAATACCCATCATCATTGGCAAAGGCAATTATAGACTTCTTTGCCAGAAAAACATCGCTTATCTTCATCTTGGTCCAATCAGCATCAGACATACTTGCTGGCTTGCTCTTAACACCTTCAGTAAAGCATATCCTCCTCTTGATTTCCACGTAAGCCAATTAAAGCAAGTCGCTCCCTCCATTCTAAACGGATATCAACCAAACCAGGCTTTGATACCACTTGTTGAGAATATCGCGTTTAAGAATGAGAAAAATAGAACAAACTCCGGAAATCGAAAAAAACAAATAACCAAGGTAAATAACACCAAGAATTTACGTGGTTCGGCGATGGGTGCCTATGTCCACGGGACAGCAACAACAATCTTTCACTATATCAATAATGAGTACAACCAATAATCTTGCCAAATCTCTAGAACTAGGACTTGACGAAAAACCTGAAAGAACAAGAACAAGAAATACTCTCTTTTGTTTTCTCTTGCACACACTTTACAATATTCTCTCACTCTAATCCCTTGATATAATTTATGGTTTTGCTCCCTTCCTATACAAAACTAGTACAATAGCCACTTTATATAGACATAATAAAGGTCTTCTTCAATAAGGATTATTAATCCTAATTGGAAACTAGTTATAAAACCTTTTTCCAATTGAGAAACTAACTCCAATTGGATAAACAACTACAATTGAGAAAACAACTCTAATTGGGAAAACAATTTAATCCTCTAAGACTATTAATTCCCAGTACTTATCATGGGCTGCTGGAAAAAACCCAACAAAAAAACATGTACTTAAACAATAAGAGTATTGGAAACGAGGTCGTCAATGCTTTTTATTTATTCATTTTCTAGGGACTTGATTTTGTTTAAGTATTTCTTGTTTGTTTTTGGGATTTTTCATAAGTAGCTTTGACTTTCCGACTTTACAGAGCTGCACATGAGGCAGGTGCTGCTACTGCAATTGTCAATGTAGGAGTGACTCGTGCAGACGATATTGTACCTTTGAAAATCAATGCTCGACTGGGAGAGGTATAGCCTTTCTTGTTGGCAGATGGGTCTGTAGGCTTTCTTGTTGGCTGATGGGTCTACAAAACGGTCTTAACTTATCAGAATCTAACAAGCATTGCAATTTTACAGATTCTACCCAGAGTGCTTGACATGGGATCCCTCGGTGTCCCTGCCATTGGTTGATTTGACCTGTAAAGAGGTGTTCTAATATGTAGAAGCTTGCTTTGGGTTTATGAGTAGATATAGAAGACCACAAGAAATTGAGAGGTGCTGCCAAATTCTTTTAGTTTCTCAGTCTCTGAAGTGAAAACATGGAAAGTTGTAGCTAGTCAATGTGAAGACAATGGATTTTCTGCGCGGGACGAGAAAGATAAAGATAAGGAGAACGTTGGATATGCCAAAAGGAAATAACATTGTTCCCTCCTCGTACATAGATGATCTGGTGTCCGTGTCATAGACGTTTATAGACCCCAGAACATGAAATGCCAGTGTGACTTCATTGAATTGCTGTAAAGAGGGATTTTATCTTCGATTACATTATGATTAATGTGAAATTTGTATGGACACTTGTTCATTTGTCATTCGTGACTCTACGGAATTGGAACCCTACAAAGGTTTTCAAATTATTAGTTGATTAATTGCATATAGACAAAAGTGGTGATCAAGTGTACTTAATATATTATGGTGTGTACTTAATAAGTGGTGATCAAGTGTATTATATATAGAGGAGGCCCTTAAGGGAAGGGATCCCATAGTTGTAAGGCTCACACCATATAACGTTGACCTGTGCTCAGTAGTTTCGGGAT